TCGTACGCTTCAGACATGACAAAAAGGAAAGAGATTCTAGAAGGGCCATCATCTGTATTTTCAGTCGATTTTGAGTTCATACTCTTTGATACTTCCGACGCTCCAAATATAGAAGTTTCGCATGGTTAGATCCAGTAGAGAAGGAGTTACGACTGAAGAACCACTTCACCGAAGACTTTTGTATGTTGACATTGTCACTTGGGGATCCTGGCAATCACCTACTAAAAAGGGAAGATCGAGATTTCAAGGTGTTTACACGCTCTTCTACAAGTTTTTGCGCTAGTCGATAAGTTATAGATCTTTGAGCATTAATCAATCCCGTATGAGGAGTACGATCCGCACTTGACCTCCACTCGGAATCATAATGACATGTTAAGAGCGTATCTGACTTACGGCTGCCAGCTGCGTACAGCTCAATATTTTCATCCTTCCAGAAAATCCTGAAAGGATGGAAGGCTTGATTGGCTTAGAAGGGTATCGATTCGGGGTTCGAACACGTGACCGGGTTAATGGACATTGCGCCTTTGTCACTACACCACCTTAGCCCTGAATAAACGAAATAAGCGATGAAATAACAACTCGCCCTGTCTCCTGCATTTATGTTGTATTTGGGCACTTTTCTTGCAACTTCTTCGTTAATTCCAAACATCTCCTGTCTCCCTTATTCGAAGAATGCTAATTAGGACTTGGGTCTCTACCTAAAAGCTGCAGTCTGAATGTCGCCTCTTGTCGGGCAAAAAGCTTTTCTTTTTCGTTTTCCCTTTCAACTAATACACAGCTGCAGACATCACAGATACTTCTTCTTGGCTCATTGCGCACAGTTCTTCCCATTTTCCTGCTGAACTTTGGCCTCGCATGTTCCGCCTGAATTATGCAATTACGAGGGCTCCAGTGTCCACACCCAAACATTGCAGTGAGTAATATTCAGTAAGCGCAGCTGTTTATTAGGGAATCTCCAGTGTCTCCAGTATTGGATTAGTTTCCAGCTAAATATCTCTCTGTTGTGCACCTTAGGCATTCCAGAACATACTTGACGATTGCTATAACATTCCGGTATTTCAGTTTCTTCTTGCAGCTGCCTTCTTTGAGATACATGCTCCGACATCTTCATGTCCGTCCAGTCCTG